AATCTGTGAAATGCATTGCCTTAAATAAGTACGTAGGCGAGATATTAACTACATACAAATCGTCGGAGTTAAACAACAACACGAATTAGCTATAATCATAAAGTAGCTTAGAATCAACATGAAATTATCGAATAATAGTTTATGAATAAACTTACCTTTAATTATTATGATGCTATACATCACCTTACAGTGATGCATTGATGATGCATCTCATAACGTTATCTCATCACTCACTCTCATCACTTCTCGCCCTCTCTCCCGATGCAGCCGGGAGTCGCGTAGACTTCCGGATGCGAATCGCGGATAGCCCAAATGACGCCCAGAGCAAGTTGGTGACTAAGGAGCGAACAATAAGGAGGGAACAATACGGAGGGAACAATGAGGAGGGAACACTAAGGAGGGAACAATGGGGAGGGAACAAAAGGAAGGGAACAATAAGGAGGGACACTAACGGGGGAACAATAAGGGAACAATAATGAGGGAACAATAGGGAGGGAACAATAAGAAGGGAACAATAAGGAGGGAATACTAACGGGAGAACAAAAAGGAGGGAACAATAAGAGGGAACAATAAGGAGGGAACAATAAGAGGGAACAATAAGAGGGAACAATAAGAGGGAACAATAAGAGGGAACAATAAGAGGGAACAATAAGAGGGAACAATAAGAGGGAACAATAAGAGGGAACAATAAGAGGGAACAATAAGAGGGAACAATAAGGAGGGAACAATAAGGAGGGAACAATAAGGAGGGAACAATAAGGAGGGAACAATAAGAGGGAACAATAAGAGGGAACAATAAGAGGGAACAATAAGAGGGAACAATAAGGAGGGAACAATAAGAGGGAACAATAAGGAGGGAACAATAAGGAGGGAATACTAACGGGAGAATAATAAGGAAGGAACAATAAAAAGGGAACAATAAGGAGGGAACAATAAGGAGGGGCCAATAAGTAGTGAACAATACGGAGGGAACAATAAGGAGGGAACTAAGGAGGGAACAATACATAGTGAACAATACGGAGGGAATACGGAGGGAACTAAGGAGGGAACACTGCGCCCGTAGTGAGTGATGGAGAGCGGCGTGGATTGTAGTGAGAGCGCCAATGTTGCCCCACGTCGGGCTGTAGGGGCAAGTGCTGTTAGTGAGCACCTATGAAGGCCGACACGGCGCGCACGACACACATCACAGTGGGACTAAAATAACTGTGAACTCAGGAGGCGAAAACGCCAAACTCGACAGGTGTGTCTCACAGCCGGGATTCGCCGAATCGGCCAACTGGCACGGTGGTACGCGGCCAGCGTGACCAAAGAGACCGTGGGTTTGCCCTGCGAGAACTAAGCATTGAGGACGGTCCAACAGACGCAGTAAAAAAAAAATACACAATTAATTCTTCGTGAATAATTCGCTCGCTGTGTGTATGGGACGGGGTTTTTTTTTTTGGGGGGGGGGGACCCCTTGCCAGCCTGCGGCATCAACAGAAACAAAGAAAGCAAGAGCGAGAGTGGGTGCGTACATTGTTTATTAAAATGATTTGAACATGTTGACCGTGGGTTGTATCACATTGCTGGGATGTGTCTGTGTGTTTGTGTCTTGAGGGGGGGGGGGGACGAGCGGTGGTGCAGCAGTTAGCGCGCTGTGCTACGAACCCATCGACCCGAGTTCGATTCCCGATCACGGCCACCACCAGTGACGATTATCTGAACTCGTCCTGGGCCTCCCCTAGGTCGAGCAGCCTAAAAAGAGTACCTGGGGTGGTGTGTAAACATCGTCACTTGGGAGACAAACGCGGCCAGGCGTGGTTACTGTGCCATGCCGGCTATTATAGGTGCTCGCTAACAACACTTGCCCCAACAGTCTATTGAAGCTGTGCGGGTGTTCTTTGCTATACTTTACGCACGTGGCACCTGCGTCTGTCCCGTGATCTCCTGCCAGCGAGCTTTCAGCACGTCACGTGACCTCAAAGTGCACCTGTCCAGGCACAATCGCCATTGTGACGTCACCGCCACTTAGTGGCGAACGGTGGCTGTTGTTGTTGGGTGAGTGTGTTGTTGTGACCTGCAGTGTGGTGAGTGGGTGTGTTGTTGTGACCTGCAGTGTGGTGAGTGGGTGAGTGTGTTGATGTGACCTGCAGTGTTGTGAGTGGGTGAGTTGTGTTGTTGTGACCTGCAGTGTGGTGAGTGGGTGAGTGAGTGTTGTTGTGACCTGCAGTGTGGTGAGTGGGTGAGTGTGTTGATGTGACCTGCAGTGTGGTGAGTGGGTGAGTGTGTTGTTGTGACCTGCAGTGTGGTGAGTGGGTGAGTGTGTTGTTGTGACCTGCAGTGTGGTGAGTGGGTGAGTGTGTTGTTGTGATCTGCAGTGTGGTGAGTGGGTGAGTGTGTTGTTGTGACTTGCAGTGTGGTGAGTTTCTGTGTTGATGTGACTTGCAGTGTGGTGAGTGAGTGTGTTGTTGTGACCTGCAGTGTGGTGAGTGAGTGTGTTGTTGTGACTTGCAGTGTGGTGAGTGGGTGTGTTGTTGTGACCTGCAGTGTTGTGAGTGGGTGAGTTGTGTTGTTGTGACTTGCAGTGTGGTGAGTGGGTGAGTGTGTTGTTGTGACCTGCAGTGTGGTGAGTGTGTGAGTGTGTTGTTGTGACCTGCAGTGTGATGAGTGGGTGAGTGTGTTGTTGTGACCTGCAGTGTGGTGAGTGGGTGAGTGTGTTGTTGTGATCTGCAGTGTGGTGAGTGGGTGAGTGTGTTGTTGTGACCTGCAGTGTGATGAGTGGGTGAGTGTGTTGTTGTGATCTGCAGTGTGGTGAGTGGGTGAGTGTGTTGTTGTGACCTGCAGTGTGGTGAGTGGGTGAGTGAGTGTTGTTGTGACCTGCAGTGTGGTGAGTGGGTGAGTGAGTGTTGTTGTGACCTGCAGTGTGGTGAGTGGGTGAGTGTGTTGTTGTGACCTGCAGTGTGGTGAGTGGGTGAGTGTGTTGTTGTGACCTGCAGTGTGGTGAGTGGGTGAGTGTGTTGTTGTGATCTGCAGTGTGGTGAGTGGGTGAGTGTGTTGTTGTGACTTGCAGTGTGGTGAGTGGCTGTGTTGATGTGACTTGCAGTGTGGTGAGTGAGTGTGTTGTTGTGACCTGCAGTGTGGTGAGTGAGTGTGTTGTTGTGACTTGCAGTGTGGTGAGTGGGTGTGTTGTTGTGACCTGCAGTGTGGTGAGTGTGTGAGTGTGTTGTTGTGACCTGCAGTGTGATGAGTGGGTGAGTGTGTTGTTGTGACCTGCAGTGTGGTGAGTGGGTGAGTGTGTTGTTGTGATCTGCAGTGTGGTGAGTGGGTGAGTGTGTTGTTGTGACCTGCAGTGTGATGAGTGGGTGAGTGTGTTGTTGTGACCTGCAGTGTGGTGAGTGGGTGAGTGTGTTGTTGTGATCTGCAGTGTGATGAGTGGGTGAGTGTGTTGTTGTGACCTGCAGTGTGGTGAGTGGGTGAGTGTGTTGTTGTGATCTGCAGTGTGGTGAGTGGGTGAGTGTGTTGTTGTGACCTGCAGTGTGATGAGTGGGTGAGTGTGTTGTTGTGACCTGCAGTGTGGTGAGTGGGTGAGTGTGTTGTTGTGATCTGCAGTGTGATGAGTGGGTGAGTGTGTTGTTGTGACCTGCAGTGTGGTGAGTGGGTGAGTGTGTTGTTGTGATCTGCAGTGTGGTGAGTGGGTGAGTGTGTTGTTGTGACCTGCAGTGTGGTGAGTGGGTGTGTTGTTGTGCCCTGCGGTGTGGTGAGTGGGTGTGTTGCTGAGTGACAAGACACACAGTCTGGAAAACCAAATCTACATCGCTTCTGTCAACTCACTCGGAGTTTATAAATGAAGGCAGCGTTCTTCGCTAATTTTCAGAGGGCGGGCGGGGGGGGGGGGGGGTACTTTCGCCGATCAGACATCATCAGTGTGTGAGAAACCCTTGGGTTGGGTTTGACAGCATCACGACGATGACGATGATGCGGTGTGTTGTTGTCTCTTTTTGTGCGTTGTGGGAGACCGCAACTTCAGGGGACGCACTCAAGGCCACCAGAGGCCACCAGAGGCCCCTGGTGGCCTTGCGATGAAGAACGCTGTGAAGGATTTGACCCCAGCAGCAAAACAAGTGTCTAGTTCCAACTTGTGTAGCGCCTGCGTGTCCCAGCAGCAGTATTAATGGGCGCAAGCCACATTAAGTTAATTCACTTCTTTTGGTGGAGGGTGGAAGATTTTTACAGTTTTTTCCTGGATGTTTCTGTTGCGAAACGTCACTTTAAGATGTTCTTTGTTCATGATTTGTTTGTTGCGGTTGCACCCGAGTCAAGAGCCACATGGCTCACAGGTCTATACCTAATAAAAAAAAAACTGAAACAGAAAATTAAACCGAATGTCAAGAAGAGATTGTTGTACTGATGGTGCTGATGATGATGATGTTGCCGCTTCGGATGTGGTGGATGATATGTTTTGCCATTGTCGATGTTGCTGATGTTCATTGTTAATGCTTTTGTGGATGTTGCTGGTGTTGTGCTGATGCTGTTGATGATGTTATCGACGTTACTCCTGATGACATTAGCACTGCTCCTGATGATGATGATGCCACTAATGTTTAGTGTTGATGATTCCGTTGATGTCGGTCATGTTCTGGCGAATTGCCCGATGATGCTGGATGCAATTACCAGCGAAACGTCGTACTCAAATTGTAAATTGTTGTGGTTTCACGCTTCAACACACCGGTAGGCTAAAGCAGTGAACTAATTGTCTTTTGTCAACGTGACAGTTTTTTACTGATTGGCCGTGTCGGGTGGTGGAGGGTTACGACACATTTATAAATAACGCGATCTAAACCCAAAAACGTTGATTATGAATAATATTGGTCGCGAAAGCCTACGTGTTAAATTTCTTGATGCTGTCGATGCTTTTTGTCAACGTTGCTGCTGATGACGCTGCTGCAGCTGCTGCTGCTCTTGTTAACGATACTCTCGTTATTCCTCCGTGCATCTCCCACCCGCCCGACACCCACGCGCAGATGTACATCCAGACGACGACCCTCACCATCTCCATGAGCCTCAGCGCCACCGTGTCGCTGGGGATGCTCTTCTTCCCCAAGGTCTACATCATCGTGTTGCACCCGGAGCTCAACGTCCAGAAGCGCAAGCGCAGCTTCAAGGCCGTGGTCACGGCCGCCACCATGTCCCAGAAGCTGTCCCAGAAGTCGGGCGAACGCCCCAACGGTCAGGCGAAGACGGAGATCTGCGAGAACGCTGCCGAGCCCAACAGTAAGTGAGCTCCAAGTATGTATCCGCTCCCTCCGTTTCCTTCTCGACATCGAGTTCGTTTTTCGTTTTCGTTTACTTCGTTGAGTTCGCCGCCACTAGCACGCGGGTGACGGCGGCACGGCCACCTCCCTCGGCCAACGCCGCTCCACACAATCGGCCACCACTACCACCACCACCGCCCCCCCGTGTCGCGTTGATTCCGGGGGAGAAGTGGGGGGTGGTGGTGTAACATTGTGGTGGCCTCTCAAAGTCACGGCGGCGAGTTTGAGAGGCCGCTCGTCGGCACGCACGAGACGCCGCCTCTGGCAATGACGACGATTTGACATGCGGACGGGCGGTCGGGCGGGCGACACTTGATGAGCGTGGGAAGTTGACCGCCTCTGGGGAGCGAGCGTTGAGAACAAAGTTGTCGATTTTGACGGCCGTCGGCGGCGCAAGCTGCTGTGGCCGATGAGTCGCTCGGAATACGTTTCCCCTGCGGGTGGGGGTGAGGAGGTGGGGGGGGGGGGACATTTGAAACGCTCGCCAGAAACCTGGCCAGTTGAAAAATTATCACGGCGCGAGGCAGGCGGAGGAAGCTGATTGTCCTTGGGGCATAGATGGAGCAGGTGCAGGCCCTGCAATTGCATCGGTGGTGGAAGGGCCTCCTCTGAAGAGGGAGCTGAGATTGCGTTTCAAGCGTTGTTTAAAATCGTATGCACGTGCGATGAGAATCAACGCGCGTTTTTGTTGTCGTTATTGTATGGCGTGAGTATGCTTTGCCATGCTTATGCCGTGCTCATTGTAAATGTCACCGGGGCAAGGGACGCTACTGCGGTCAATGGCACTCAGTGATATAATGCTGATTGTTGTTTACCCAGGACAGCTACATTGAGTCCAAAGGCTCTTTTTGAGGAGACTCCATTGGCATGTTTGGGCCAACGCCATTGAGGACATGTGCCGTGTCCGCTGTTGTGGGAGGAGGAAAGCGGGAAAAAACGGAGGAAACCCTCACAGATGGGATCAGATCACGAATTTTATGTACCGTGTTAAATCGAACCTGGATCTTGTGTTTTCCTCATGATTTCGTGGTCTGATCCCATATGTGAAGGATGTGATCCCTGACATGCAATACCCCCCGGTGTCTACAAGCTAAGCTGTGTCTGCGGCAGTAGTTACATTGGGGAAACTAAGCGACATGTCTCGGACCGTGTTCGTGAACACAAGGCAGATCTGAAACACGGTAGGACCAATACCTCGACCATGGCTGATCATTGTTTTAATGCGGTGGGCACACACGAAATAGATTTCTCTAAGACGAAGGCTCTTTGCAAACCCACTGGCTATCAACAAATATTCGTTCATGAAGCCATCCACATATACAGACAAAGCCACAACTTCAATCGAGAAGACGGGTATAAACTGAGCAATCATTGGAAGGACGTTATCAACCAGTTTGTCATAACTGGCTGTGATGTTCCCATCCTACCACCTTCCGATGTTAGTTGTTATTTTCGGCTCTTTGATTTTACATTAACAGGTTACATTTTCTTGGTTCTTTCGGTAAAGTCACGTAGAATGGAAATAATAAAATAATAAAAATAAAACATAATAAAAAAATTCTCACGACGTTTCGGCCACAACGCAAGCAGCCGTCCTCAGGTGGAGAACAGGTCTGTCGAGAAGACAGAGTCTGAATGACACACCCCTGGCTTGGAGCGTCTATTTAAGCTGGGTTGGAGGGGGAAGAGCGCCTTGACAAAAGAATTTGCATATCAAGAGGAATTTAGCATATTTATGGGAAATGCAGATATGCAATTAGTACTACTTGTGAAATGCGTAGGAGGTTTGGCGGGGGGTTTAAAGTCATATTATGCCCGTGCATTATGCAGGATTAGTAGCATCAAAGGGAGGGAATAGGGGTAACATTAATAAAGGGAAGGAATGTTAATAGTATGTAGCAGCAGTAAATAAACCACCACGTAAACAACTAAAGTATAAACTACATAGTTTCATATACTCTCCAATAAGCTGAGCTACTAACAGTAAGTAATACATTACAATTCTATGTCGCAAAAAATATAATATGCTTCCAGATAAACTTTATTTCTCACACTAACACAGCCACCTTGCACGTCGAGCTCGACGTTGCTGCTCTGCGATCTCCCATGAACATGCTAATCTCTAGATTTGAAGCTTTCGTGACTGCAAGGATTCATATTCTAAGGTTTTCGGTAAAGTCACGTAGGTAAAAAATTAAAATGAATAAAGTAAGGCTCAAAAGGTGCATTCCTAACAGCGTGTTTCCGCCGCACCGAACCTCACAAAAATAATATCCAGGTGCCTACCTTGGCTCCTCCCACCCTCAACCAGTATATAAACAAGGACTGTTTTCTTGGAATTTCTCTTACTTGATACAGCAATCGTGGCTGTGACGGTTCCACCAGAAGACGGAAGCTTGTGTTGCCTCCGAAACGTCGTGATTTTTATTTTATTTTTATTTTACTTTTATTAATTTTAATTTTTTACCTACGTGACCTTACCGAAAACCTTAGAATATGCTAATATCTCACATTGACATAGCCACCTCCGTGCCCTCCTCGTGAAGGCCGCTCTCATATTAACATCACTAGCCCCGCCCACTTCGTTTATGACCCTTGGGCTACACCCATTTCAAACCTTTAAAACAGTCTGCCTCAGCAGCTTTCCCCCTCTTTTTTTCTCCCGATGACCATCGCTTGTGTTGTGATCGAAACGTCGTAGTTTTTTGTTGTTATTTTTTTGTTATTTTCTTTTGGACCTATCTACATGACTATACCGAAAGACCCAAAGAACAGGACGTAACCTGATAATTGTTTTTTTTACCCTTTTATCTGGCAACAAAACTGACACCTTTTTTACGAGGAGTCATGTTTGCATAGACCACAATACCTGCAGTCATAATGCAAACAAAAAACATAACTCTGATAATGTATGCACTGTCCTTGAAGTTGATTGGTCCACACCCGAGACAGCTTTCCTTAGAGCCTAGTCTCACATGGGTTGGACCAGATGACGCCAGGTATTGTGGTCTATGCAAACATGACTCCTCGTAAAAAAGGTGTCAGTTTTGTTGCCAGATAAAAGGGTAAAAAAACAATTATCATATTTTTTACTGGTAACTAAGGTACCAATGGTGTAAGGACGTAACCTGTTCATGATTATTAAGGAGGGGGGCTAGTCCACGTGGAGTGACGTTTACGCGCCGGACACAAACATTGATGTCTCATTACATTAGTCAACAAAAAAAAACATGTTTTTCTGGCCTGGACTTTTGTAGCTGTTTTAGACTAATTTCAGGGTGCTGATTCCAAATCTGACCTCAGATTTGCTCTATCACATCTCATTTTATGCTATCGGCATACCCCATTTTCATTGATTTTACCCGAATTTAACTCTGTCACTTATGATTGCAAGTTGTTGCGAGTCAGTGACTGCTTTAGTGTTAAAATACGGTGCTGTATTTTTAGGTTAGTGTGTTTATAATATCATTTTATGTAGATATCCACATTTATTTAATATGTATCTTCTGCAGTTTCTATTGAAAATGCAATATTTGATATCTCAAAAACCTGATGTGATGGACAAAAACTGATGCCATATTTGGAATCAGCACCCCAAAATTACCTTAAATCCGTTGGAATACCTTATGCCAGAAAAGTGCGTTGACCAGTATTATAGTAGTAAATTATAATCACGTGCATGGTTCGTTGTTGTTGTTGTTGAGTTGTTGTTTTTCTTCTTCTGTTATTGTCTTCATTTGCACGATCAAAATATACTTTACCTTCCACTAACATTGCACGCTTTGGTTAAAGTGACCTTAACGCTCAAGAGAAAAGGCCCCATGACTTGTTCCGGTTGAAATGTTCCTCGTGTGCGTGAACGTTGCGTGTCAAAAAATCTATACAGGGTGGCCCAAAAGTCAGGACACACGTGGGGCTTTTACAAAAAAAAGGTGTCAGTTTTGTTGGCAGATAAAAGGGTAAAAAAAACAATTATCATATTTTGCTACTGGCAAAGGAGGTTCCAATGGTGTAAATGCTTATCCCGAGCTCCCATACTCTGATGGTGCATTGTCTTTGAGCTGTGCGCCTTTTGGCGTCATCTGGTCCAACACCATGTGAGACTGGGCTCTAAGAAAATCTGTCTCGGGTGTGGACCAATCAATTTCAAGGGCAGTGCATACATTATCAGAGTTGTGTTTTTTTGTTTGCATTCCGACCGCAGGTATTGTGGTCAATGCAAACATGACTCTTTGTAAAAAAGGTGTCAGTTTTTTTGCCAGATAAAAGGGTAAAAAAAACAATTATCACACGTGTGGCTGTTAAGTTTATTTTAACAAATCACAAAGGGAAATTTATCATAACAAATGGTCAAACTGCCTTTCATTCGCACGAATGCATGCTGCATGGATTATATTTTTAAATGAATGTTGGACTTTGTTTTTAATCGAAGATTGCAGCTGGATTATCTGAACGTTCATCAATTATGTTTCGTCTCAATTCATTCGGAGTTTTTGGTCGAGTTTTTTTTTTTGCTTTTAAAACGACAACATTTGCGGTGACCACCAGAGGGATATGAAAAGTAGAAATTGATAACAGATAAAATATGAACGTCAAGGATACACAATTAAAACGTTTTAATGCCAGCGTGACAATAAATTAAATGACCCCGCGTGTCCTGACTTTGTACGTATGTACGTTGAACTTCTTTCGCACCGTACGTAGCCAATCGTGCTAATGGGAGGCGCGGGGGGGGGGGGGAAACAAACGAAATTAAATATTTTGTGAGAAGAGGTTTTCCTCTTTTCTCTGGCAACAAAACAGCTGTGTTAAGATGTTAACGCACCAAACTGAAACCTTTTACAAGGAATCATGTCTGCATTAATCACAATGCTTGTGGCCAGAATGCAAACAAAAAACGTATTCTGATATTTGCATTGTCTTTGAAACTGATTGGTCCACACCAGAGACAGCTTTCTTTGGAGCCTCGTCTCAAACGATGTTAGACTTTTGGCGTCCTCTGGTCTAGCGCCGTTTGAGACGAGGCTCAAAAGAAAGCTGTCTCTGGTGTGGACCAATCAGTTTCAAAGACAATGCATATATTATCACAGTGTGTTTTTTGTTTGCATTCTGACCACAAGCATTGTGGTTAATGCAGACGTGATTCCATGTAAAAGGTTTCAGTTTGTTGTTTTAACATCTTAACATTTGTTTTGTTGGCAGAAAAAAGGGGAAAAACCTATTCTCATATTTTGGTACTGGCAAAGGAGGTCTCATGATAAATATTTTGTCATTTGTATTAATTAATTTGCATTAATTGAGCGAGAATCGAATGCAGTCTCCTCCCCGACAAATCGATGCGGAATATTTTTGGGTTTGTTGACAGTGGAAGTTTGTTTTTATTTAATAAATATTTACGTTTGGTCTTCTTCTTCCTTTCTCTGAACAAAAAAATACAAGAGCCGTAATTAAGTCTGATGTCCGCGTAATGCAAACGAACATTGTCTAATTAACGTGGTATTATTTTTCATTTGAACGGAAGACTGCGTAAGGCGATTATTGTTCTCATTTTAATACATTTGGATTCATACCGTGGGGAAAAGTTCTCACAAACACACGTAGCTAATTAATTTTAAACAAAAAATATTAGCTAATACATTTATTTACACGGATAATGTCTCCACGAATCCGTCCGTCCACGTAGTCATTCAAAGTGACCCTTACACAACCCATCAGCTGCCACACAGTCGTATGCAATGCTTCGATCTAAGCACGCTCTGGGCAGGTTTTAACGTGTAGAGACTCATCAGCAGAGGCAGGCTTGTTTTAACCAATGCAGCAGCACGGCGCAATGTTAGATGCAAGGCCCCACTCTTGATGACATGGCTCTCACTTCTGCACAAAACGATATAATACACAGCAACATAAAAATACGGCACACAAAATATGTCATGGCTCAAGCAAGCCTGACTGCTGATGAGACAGTGTATGTAAAAACCGGCCCAGATTATGTTTGTGCTGTTTTTAGTTTGTATTTGACCAGGTGAGGCCTACTGAGATGTATAGCTCTTTTTTTCAAAAGCGACCTGGCCACAAATGAAAGCTCAATTAAGTGGCTTATCATTACGTGTAAATGTGTAGCAGTCAAATACTCTAAACGCACGTTGATTCTAAATATGGAGGGAAAACCCGTAGGTCCCGGATAAAAATCCACGCGACCACAGAGAGAGAAAGAGACATGCGAAATCCAACTATACAGGCGTCAGGGTCGGGATCGGGATCAAACCCACGACCTCCTGCATACGAGGGAGATGACATCTCACCACTTAGGCGCCCCGTACCGAACCAATGCTGCTGAAATGAGGCACTGTCAGAATGTCTCGTGACTGATGGAAAGTGAAAATAATTAAGGGACAGATGCATGAAGGAGACGTCGCCTGCCTATTTATTTTGCTACTTATATTCTCCACGACTGCACAAAGCACGACTTTGTGCCGAGTACTTTACATAAGCAAGGTTTACTGTTTGCTGTGTTTAATGAATGTGTAAGCAACTGCAGGTTTGTGCTTCGTCGACAGCTGTGGGCGCTAGGATTAAAGGCAGCCGTCGTCACGGTAGGCTGTGTCGGGTCAAGGCCTTTTCGCAAGGCACGTGTTGATTCGCCGGTTCCTTTCCGAACTCGCATTTCGAATCGCGTGTTTAAGGAATTGGTCAATCGATGTTCGATGGGCTGACACGACACCCGACCAAGAAGTTGAACCACGAGACCATTGCGATTGAGAGTGCACAGTCAGCAAGAACTTCGTTCTGTCTCTGCGCGGAGATAAAACAGTCTCGTCAATTTGGCTCCGTCAGCCTCTTGGCCTACCACACCAAGGCTATTGAGCGGCAGTTGATTTCAGGCGAGCAAAAGTCGGGACCGGTTTTGAAATCCTTGAGTCTCATCAGCGGAGTCAGGCCTGTTAAACACACGTGTTGACGGATTCCTCGGATGTTATTGGCAAGCGCACTCCGCTGAAAATTATGGGGCCCCCGTTCCAGGCAAAACGCAGAGGCACGAGTTTGTGTTTTGATTGAAAGACGGGTGGACTGCGACTGTGCCAGCAGATATTTTGACATCCATGGTATAATGAATATATGATACTCTTAGGTTTTTTCGGTAAAGTCACGTAGGGGAAAAATAAATAAATAATAAACATGAATACTAAAAATTATAGAAATAATACAAAATAAAGTAATACATATTGTATTATTCAATTTCTATTATTTTTTCTATTATAATAAAAAAATAATAGAAATAATTATAGAAGTAAAATAATAAATAATGCTTTATTTTATTGATATTATTATTTCTATTATTTTTATTATTTATTTGTATTACTTATTTACTACCTACGTCACTTTACCGAAAAAAACCTAAGAGTATGAATCCTTGCAGTCACGAAAGCTTCAAATCTAGAATGAATATATGCTGATGAGTATTATTATTGTTGTTCACAGTCCTTTAGTAAATCCACTGCTGGATGACGGCCTTCCCATGCCGTGTCGGTCACGGTGGCTAGTTGACCACATTCTTGGTTCTTTCGGTAAAGTCACGTAGAAGAGAAATAATAAAATAATATTAATGTAAAAAATAAAGATTATCACGACGTTTCGACTGCAACACAAGCAATCATCATAAAGTCACGTCATCAGGTGTGAAATCCACAGCAATTAAATTTTCTTGCTGTGGATTTCACACCTGATGACGTGACTTTATCGAAAGAACCAAGAATATGAATCCCTGCAGTCACGAAAGTTTTAAATCAAAATTTTGTTGACAATACTTCACCACGCTGGTCAGTGTGGGTTGGTGAAGATGAGTGAGGGTTGCGTCGGAGGGCAGAACCCGTGGCCTGGACTCGAACTCGGGTGGACAGAGTTCTTGGCGAAACGAGACGGCAACGAATGAGATGAAAAACGCAATCAAATTAAATTTCGATTTAAAGGTTTCGTGACTGCAGGGATTCATCTTCTTGGTTCTTTCGGTAAAGTCACGTAGAAGGGAAATAATAAAGTAATACAAATAAAACATAAATATGCTAAATTTCTATTGATATGCAAATTATTTTGTCAGGGCGCTCTTCCCCCTCCAACCCAGCTTAAATATACGCTTCCAAGCCTGGTGGTGTTCATTCAGACGCTGTCTCTTTCCGACAGACCTGTTCTTCACCTGAGGACGGCTGCTTGCATTGTGGCCTAAACGTCGTGAGAATTATTTTATTATGTTTCATTTTTATTATTTGATTATTTCCCTTCTACGTGACTTTACCGAAAGAACCAAGAAGACGCAATCAAATTGTTTGTACTCGATTCGCCGCGGAGATGAATTGCCGCATGCCCGCCCACACTCAACTGTGAACCTGTGCATGGACACGCGCGTGCGTGCAAACGAACATGCGCTAACCCCACTCTTGTCCCTGTGCGCGTGTGCGTGTGTGTGCATTTATTATTTACATCCCACTTTCTTTGCTTGATTTGTGTTGTTATTGTTTACGCTTCATCATTTCCGTGTCGAGAATAGCCGACCCGGGAAAGAAGGCCACGTACATAAACTACAGCAACCACACGGGTTAGACGGCGACAGACAAGAGGATGTGAACGGGGGTCGTGGGAGGGGAAGGGAGCCAGTGAGAGAGATGACCCCCTGCCGAAGCCAAGCACATCCCCAAAAAAAAGTTTACAAGAAAGGCGATAAAGGCTCCGCGCGTGGTCTTGGAATCTAAAGCGAAAACAAAACAAAAAAACTTTGCGCTCGACTCTCGGCCAATCAATCACTCGGCCGATCAATCACTCAGCCGATCAATCACTCCAATCATCATCGACAGCTGCAACCTCCTCCACCTCCCAAGGTGAGGTGGGGGCCTGGGCCTGACTAGCTTCGCACACCTGGGTGGTGGCGCGCTGACGGAAGGTTCCGCTTTAGCCTTGAATGAACCCTGGAGTTCATTCAGAAGAATGATACTCCTACTACTACTAAAACAACTACTAACAACAACAACAACTGCTAACGACATCAACAACAACTTCAACAACGACGATGGCGACGAAGAAAAAAAACACTTTTACAAAAAAAAATCCGTGCAATGACGTTGCTATTTCTACGTTGCTCGTGTCACGTGCACCCGCGCGAGTCTCTTCTCCTCCACGAGAGGAGGAGGAGGAAGAGGAGGAGGAAGAGGAGGAGGATGATGCACGCGGAAGAGAGAGACGGTGGCGATGTCGCCATGATGGCTGGGTTCCCGTGGGTCACAATGAGATAACGCAACAACAACAACAACAACAACCGTGGGTCACAATGAGATAAAGCAACAACAACAACAACAACCGTGGGTCACGATGAGATAAAGCAACAACAACAACAACAACAACCGTGGGTTACAATGAGATAATGCAACAACAACAACAACAACCGTGGGTTACAATGAGATAATGCAACAACAACAACAACCGTGGGTTACAATGAGATAATGCAACAACAACAACAACAACCGTGGGTCACAATGAGATAATGCAACAACAACAACAACCGTGGGTCACAATGAGATAATGCAACAACAACAACAACCGTGGGTCACAATGAGATAATGCAACAACAACAACCGTGGGTTACAATGAGATAATGCAACAACAACAACCGTGGGTCACAATGAGATAATGCAACAACAACAACAACAACCGTGGGTCACAATGAGATAATGCAACAACAACAACAACCGTGGGTCACAATGAGATAATGCAACAACAACAACCGTGGGTCACAATGAGATAAAGCAACAACAACAACAAGAACCGTGGGTCACAAGGAGATAACAGCAGCAACAACAACGGTGGGTCACAAGGAGGTAACAGCAGCAACAACAACGGTGGGTCACAAGGAGGTAACAGCAGCAACAACAACGGTGGGTTACAAGGAGGTAACAACAACAACATCCGTGGATCACATTGAGATAACGCAACAACAACAACAACCCAACAGGAGTTAAAGTGAAAACAAAATAGATTTGGTGGAAAGATATTTTTTCAAAAACCACACCAACAAAGAATCCTCCTTTGCAGCGCAACCTGCTCGCTTCTCTCTCACCCCCCCCCCCCTCCTGCTCCTCGCGAATTCACGGCAGCCTCTATCGCCGGAGCGGAGCGAACAAAGCTGGGGATGGTGGTGGGACCACGTGAGCAGCCGGCCGCCCGCTGCTTCGCTCGTCTCGAAGATTTCGCTCGCTCGCGATGCTGTTCAAGACTGATGGAGAGAGGTCGGGGAAGTGGCGGCGGTGGGTTGTGGGATGGGGTTTTGGCGGTGGGTGGTGGGTGGTTGGTGGTAAAGAGGCGTGAAAACGAAGGCACACGAATGGAAAAAAAAACGTTCTCCAGCTCGAACTTGCAACGCCGGATTTTTGTTACATTTTCTGCGTTACTTCCGTTTGAGGCGATAACCGATGGAAGTTCTTTTGGAGAGAGAGAGAGAGAGAAATAAAAGATTTTACTCCAGAGCAGCGCGCGCTGGGCCGTCAACAAAAGGCAAACATTTGTTACTGATATAGAGCAACCGCATTGCATTGGGGTGGTGGTGGCGGTGGTGGAGTTTTGGGCGCGAAGCTTCTAATGTGGAGGAAGATGCTTGAGTCAAAGGATGTTTGTCAACAGGGGGGATATTGAAACAAATATATGATTATTACACGATTAAAGGGGTAAGAGATCAACAGAGCGAGAGAGACACTCTATATCCCAGTGTAAACAGCATCCGTTTACATCACCCTGCCTGAACCTCGTGATGTCGTCTGTGACCTCATTTTAAAAAGGTATTGAGTCGAAATTCGTTTCCGTTGCTTCCTCGAGGTGCCCGATTGTCAAAAATGCCAGTTCCTTTAAAGTCGCGATCCGCTCACCAGATTGTTCCAAGTTTCTCCAATTTAAACGGGACACAAACGGGGGGGGGGTGGGGCTGTCCTGGCTTGAGCGTGCGAGAAAGCGAGACGAAAAAAAGAGAGAAAGACCAGCTAATGTGGAAATCTGGACTGGATTAAGGACTCTGGACTGGATTAGGATTCAAATCTGGACTGGTATCTAATGTAGAAATCTGGACTGGATTAAGGACTCTGGACTGGATTCGGATTAAAATCTGGACTGGATTCGGGACTTTGGACTGGATTCGGATTCAAATCTGGACTGAAATCTAATGTGGAAATCTGGACTGGATTTAGGACTCTGGACTGGATTCGGATTACAATCTGGACTAGAATCTAATGTGGAAATCTGGACTGGATTCAAAACTCTGGACTGGAGCCTTATTCAAATCTGGACGTAAATACAATGTGGAAATCAGGACTGGATTCAGAACTCCGGACTGGGATCAGATTCAAATCTGGACTGAAATCTAATGTGGAAATCTGGACTAGATTCAGAACTGATGGTGGGGCTGGAATTTTGAAAACCACCGAACTCCAAAGCATTTCTATGTGACTGCAAAATGAAAATGACAAAAAAAACTAACCCCCCCGCCCCCATCCATGATGAAATTCCTGCTTGCATTGCCTGTTTAAACCATCCTCGTTAATGTTTTCTAGATGTTTAATTGGAACTGAGATCTGCTGTACAGTCTGTTTCTGGTCAAAGTTTGCGTTGTACCCAATTGCTGGCAAATGCTTCTTCGTGCTGTGCTGTAAGACATTTCACAGAATAGAGAGTGGTGGTTTTTGTCACTGTTTTATTGCGGGCTGCCAAATGGAATGAACATTTTTATAAATACCACTTGAAATAAAAATGATTATGTTGAAGCTGCTTCCAACAAAGTGAGGCGTCACGTTATTGAACAGCCGCCAGTCGTAATCAGCATCGTCATCATCATCCGCGATCGATCCACTGCCAGATGAAGGCTTCCACCCCGTCGCCCTCTCACGCTCCTACACGATGGAGCAATATGGAACCTGCATCTGAGAAGATTTTGTGACTCCATCTCCACGGTAGACGTACTCTTTTCTCTCCCCACTACCAATGTTTTAAGTTTTTTTTGTCCAATCACCAAACTCTTTCACACTGTCCAGACATTTAGGTCGAGGTGGAAGTCATCCACAATTTACTCCACCACAGATAACCTGCCGATTGACTAACTGCCCAAATAACAATGATAATTACGTACTACAAATTAAAAGTGATGTTCGCTCAAGATACAATGGTAATAATTAACCACAAAACTGATAAAAATGTAACATCACAGCACTAACTCGAGATGAAATGCGCATTGCTGCATATGGATTCCAATTTGTGAAGGCATGCAAAAGGTCACTCACAACTTACTCTACAGGGAGAAATGTAAATACTTTAAAGGTCAGTTCCCCCAAATTCCATTAAAATACAAAAAACTACACAAAAAATGAAGCGCCGTAAATTTGCCTCCAAAGCAGGAAACAAAAGCTGCCCCTTGCAGGACGAGCGCTGGAATCGCGTGGATGATTCACGCCCCGACAGGGAATCGGTGCACGGCTGAAACTACGGTACCCGGGCTCGCAAGACGTTGCCATCACACGCCGCCAGCGCAACGTTTCACACTCGGAGCCACTCATCCATTTACACTTCTGAGAACAACAAAAAAAGTTCATACTCTTTGGTTCTTTCGGTAAAGTCACGTAGGTGAAAAAGAGTATAATAAAAATTAATTAATTAAATCACGACGTCATTTGTTTTCATTGTATTATTTCACCTACGTGACCTTTACCGAAAGAACCAAAGAGTATGGATCTTGCAGTCACGAAAACTTCAAATCTAGAATGAAAAACAAGTTTGTCACCAGTGCGCGCGTGTGTGTGTCCGTGAGTTGCGTTCGTAAGCGTGTACCCTACGAACACGGCGAGCCGAGTTCGATTCCCGCTCACGGTGGCGATTGACTGAAACGGTGATGGGCCTCCCCTAGGTCGACTCAGGCTCAAATGAGTACCTGGAGCGGTGAGTAAACATCGCCACTCGGGGGACAAATGCGGCCGGGCGTGGTGTTGGCCACCCACCCCCTCGTGTGCCGTGCCGGCCTTCATAGGTGCTCGCTCACAGCACTTGCCCCAACAGTCTGTTAGAGGGCACAGCTATGCCCCTCCCTGTTTCTTTGCGAAACCTGGACCCCCTCTGAAGGAACATCTCCACTTGCTTGAAACATTCAGGCTCGCTTACCTACGATCCATACTGAGGAGCTTTCAGATCTTTGAAAGATCTGGACACATTCCCATCTGCGACCACCTCCGGCAGGCAAGGCTGCTTTGGCTGGGTCCCGTAGTCCGCATGCCCAGCCCCTGCTAAACCCAAACAGCTTCTGTTTGGCGGGACAGAGGGGGGCTAAACGGGCACGGGCTAGAGAAGAGATTGGCTCATGTGGTACAGGATGATGTGGAGCTGAGTGGACATGCCGATGATCGGTTCCAGAGGTGTCAAGATCGGCCTCTATGGTTCAAACACTGACTGGTAAGTGCCTAATGCTGCTGAAGCAGTAATACATCCTGGCCACGTTTGATAACACGTGAATTTTTTTTATGAATGGACTTTGCCGGGTGGAGGAAGGTTTACAACACACAGTAATATCGGGACAAGCATCGTTCCAGTTATCGTTGGCACGGGACGCGAGCTGCGTGCAGTGAATTTCCATACAGATTCTGGCGCCTATATTTTATAGTAAAGTACAAGACAAAAAGACAAATATCCCCCGTGTAGCCTTAACAGACTGTTGGGGCAAGTGCTGTTAGCGAGCGCCTATGAAGGCCGGCACGGCACACGAGGGGGTGCGTTGGCAAGCACCACGCCCGACCGCCTTTGTCTCCCGAGTGGCGATGTTTACACGCGCCACCATGTACTTATTTGAGGCTGAGTCAACCTAGGGGAAGCCCAGGGCCGTTTCAGATAATCATCACTGGTGTCGGTCGTGAGCGGGAATCGAACACGGATCACTGGGTTCGTCTCGCAGGGCGCTAACAGCAACTACTCTACCGCTTCCCCACACACACATACAGTTCGACAGGTCAATCTTAATCATTTCTGGTTGCATCACGTTAGGGGCCGTCCATAAATGACGTCACGCACCTGGGGGGGGGGTGTCAGACATTTGTGACGATGTGTGACGAGGGGGGGGGGGGGGTGAGAAATGTGACGTCACATTAAAATGCCCAACTTTAAATAAATATAGACAACACGTTCTACTTATATTCTTGGTTCTTTCGGTAAAGTCACGTAGAAGGGAAATAAAAAAAATGATAAAAAATAAAACAATACAATTCTCACGACGTTTCGATTGCAACACAGGCAATCATCATCAGGTGTGAAAATCACAGCAAGAAATTTAGATTAAATTTAATATTCTTTTAAATAAATGTTTTCTTCTACAACATCAGAGTGCAGCGCCACATTAAATACGCACTACAATGACGATAGTTTAAAGCGATTTGAAGCATGTTTTATTTTATGAATGGAAATATAGTTTTGAGGGGGGGCAGAGCTTTGTGACGTCATATTTGAGATGGGGGGGTCTGACTTTTTGTGACGCCGTGTGACGAAGGGGGGGGGGGGTAAAAATAGTCCCAAATCGCGTGACGTCATTTATGGACGGCCCCATTGCTTGTTGTTGAGACGTTCTGGCCTGCCCCGGACTGGCCATCTGTGAACAAAGGAGCTTGATAGCTCTTCGGATTCCTCCAGTCTAAATTAATATTCCGATTCTGAACCAGGTCTTTGCTTTGTTTCGATCTCGCGGCGCGGCAGTCGAAACAATGAGACCGGTTTCTTAATCCCTCCCCTATGAAGATACATGGACACACCACATTTTGATTTAAAGCTTTCGTGACTGCAGGGATTCATCTTCTTGGTTCTTTCGGTAAAGTCACGTAAAAGGGAAATAATAAAATAACAATAATAAAACATAATAAAATAATTCTCACGACGTTTCTCCCACAACGCAAGCAGCCGTCTTCAGGTGAAGAACAGGGCTGTCGGAAAGACAGCGTCTATGTTTTATTTGTATTATTGTATTATTTCCCTTCTACGTGACTTTACCGAAAGAACCAAGAAGATGGACACACCACAGTCTATGATTGTCAGCGCCGTGGTGCGGTGGAGTAAAGTGTGACGAGTACTGTCACCTCTGGCCTGCGTGGAAGAATAACATGTATATACCATCATCCTAGAGGGGGGGGGGGGGGCTCTGATGCACTCACTCCAGTGAGGGCCCATCTGCCGGCAGTGGCGCCAGGCCAAGCAATTGCAGGGCTGCGCCTTTAACCCCCCCCCCACCCACTTCACTTTTTTTGTCCGTTGGAATTCGTTGCGCAAAGAGGTTTGGAGGAAACTCCAAGGGGCACCGAAGGCTCGCGGCTGCGTTGACGAATTCTCCGAGCCGCGTTAGCTTCCGCTTGTGCCGAACGAAGACGCGACGAGGTCATCGCACTCGTTCCGCACACGAGAAAGTGCTTGCCGCAAAGGGATCACAATTACCTCGATCATCTCGTCCAAGAACCACCGTCACGCGAACTCCACTCATCCTCGCAGCAACAGCAGCGGCTTGTGGAGTGCGCTTTCAGATGCGCTTCTGCGGCCGTCTGGAACGCTCTTCCTTACGGTATTCGGACGCTACTGGGAGCTGTGCACTCTTAAATTATTATCTAGATTGAAAACCCATTCCTTTAGAATTGATGTTTGTGTTTAGTTTGTTGTCCTTCCCCCGCATCTCCGATTAGCACGGTGGGCTACGTACGGTGCGAAAGAAATTCAACATACGTGCGTGACACGGCCGTGCATGGTGGAGACCAAATGAGCCGAAAGGGTCAGCGGGCGATCGATTAGGCCAGCGTCCTTCACTCATTCTCAGACGGGGGAGCAAGGGGGGGTAGTTTCGCCGATAAGAAATCATGAGTGTGAGCAGGACTGCACCAAATTTGAAACCATCGGGGGTTTGACAGCGACACGATGGCGATGATGGTAGGGGGTGTTGTCGCCCCTGGCGGGCCTTGCAATGAAGATCGCTGCACGAGTGGGATCCTCTGCGGGCAGGCAGGTCACAAGCAGGCTCTAATCAAATCTATCTCTTTCTTCGAGGGTGCCAATGCCGTTGAATCGTTGAATTATCCGAGATCCTGGCAGGGGGTGGGGTGAGTATTTCGTATGTGCGGCGCTAGCTCGCCGTGACGTGTTCGTTTCTCGCACGATCGCTAAACTATTACCGTCAAGAACAAACGTCGCTCCGGCTTCTTGGTTCTTTCGGTAAAGTCACGTAGAAGGGAAGTAATAAAATAATAACTATAAAACATAATAAAATAATTCTCACGATTTATTATGTTTTATTTTTATTATTTTATTACTTCCCTTCTACGTGACTTTACGGAAAGAACAAAGAAGATGAATCCCTGCAGTCACGAAAGCTTTAAATCGAATCATCGCTCCGGCTATCATTGGCATGGACGTGAGCTGTGTGCCGCGAGTTTCCGTACAGATTCTGGCGCATCTACGATAGGGCTGAACGATTTGGGGGAAATATCTAATTGAGATTTTTCTGACAGATATTGCGATGATTTGATTTGCGATGCCATTTTTTCAAGTCAAGCTTCAGTTCAATTTTCACTGTGTAATAGATTTAAAACGCGTGATGGAGCATTACCACATGATACCGTCAAAATATGAACTGCTCTATATATTTTACGGCAAGGATGAGAACTTAAAATATATTAATTGCTTCCAACATGTATTTATTAAAATGTGTTAATTGAAACAGAACAATCAAACATTTAACAATTGTTCAGTTAAATAGATAAAGT